CCAGACTGTGGGCAAAACAAAAATGCCTACCTCAAAGCGTGTCTGACCTTGAGAGGAAAGCCAAAACTCCCTGTCATTCGCTGCCAAGCTCATTTTATCCCTGATGAAAAGAGCTTTCTGAATCTTTCAACCAGCGAAGGACTGATAGACTGTTTCTGTAGTTCTCAAACTTAGGTAATAGGATGAAGTTAGGCTTCATTGTCCTAAATACACACCCCAACCCACACACACTTTCAACAAGTTCCAATGAAGCAGATAAACTGCGGCCAGCAGCTGGGACACTTTGAGGGCTGTGTTTCCGTGAGAGCTTTGTCTGTGTTAAGTTTTTTGTGAATGTGCTGACAGCTGGTCAGCCGACAGAGGAGACTCATAAGTTTTGTGAGCAAAATATTTGAGTTGAACAGATATGGCTCATTTGTTAAAGCTCATACTGCTGAGTAATCCATTTGGGGCACAGGAAGTTATTCTATAAGCCAGTGCTACAACTCCCTGCACCCTTTTGTTATTAAATCTGCATCCCAGTAACTATTTACACCAAGGACCAGGGACGTGCACAGACATTTGGAGGGGCTATTGCTCTAAACTGGAAAAAGGGCCTCCCCCCGATAAAAAACACAAGACCTTTTGAAAATCGTAACTTGTTTTTAATGTAAAAGAAACCAAACGATTATTACATCAACTAAATTGAACAGTAATTCACATCTCATAACAAAATAAGCTAAGGCGACTACTTGCATTCGGTAACTTCATTCTAAAAATGAAAACCAGGGACATTTTTTGTTTTGCGGTCCATATCTCATCAAAAATATCTAATGTTAGTAACTATTAAAGACAAAATGGGGACAATTCTGTTCTAATGTAGTTTGACCATTGTAACTGCTGTGCAGACATACATAGGCTACTGATAAAATAGGGCCTCTAACTAATTACCTTAAATAAACTCACTAATTAATGAAACCAGTTCAATACGCATTATTCTTATTCTTATCATTCTTTATGAGCGCAGTAACGGTAAGGTATCTAATTACTTATTTATTTAGTATTCCATAACTTAAAGGTGGGGTAGGTAATTTTGGAGAAACCAGCTCGAGTGCTCTAGAATTTGAAAATACACAGCCGGAAAAAATCTGCCACTTCCTTACAGAGCCCCTCCTCCAACACACACGAACGCGCACATGACCAATGAGGGCACGAGATAAGTTTGTGCACAGAAAAGGCTGACAGGCAGGTAGGCCATCCAGTTATTTTAGCCGGCCGGCTAAAATGATTGGTCGTGCTTTTTACAGTACTACGGCTTCCACAGATGACATTTTTTTATGGATTTTTTGTCAAAGCACTTAAGATATTCATTGCTATCGGGATGTTAAGAAAATTCCATGGAATATAACAAAAAGTGTATCTCGAGCCGGTTTCTCAAACTTACCTACCCCACCTTTGATAACAGAGATGGTCAAACTAAAGTGGTAGAGATGGCAGAAATCCTACAATGAAGCGGGACAGTGAACTGTTCACCCGCGAAAGGGCGATCAAGAAAAGAGAGCGAGCGGCCCCGTTGAGGGAGTTTACATATGAAAAGACACAGAAAGACAGAAGCACAATAACAACAAGTAGCCTAGGCTATATTTAGGTGTTTTTTTGTAAATAACCGACGGTATCAAGAGGAAGTAAAGTCCCCTGGTTTGTCCCTTATACCCTAACTGCCATGATGAGACAACTCAAAATTAAGTTTCCAAAATCCGACACTGAGGTGGTCTTAACGCACCGGCAGATGACAGCGCTGACTTTTGTGATTCGGCCACAACAGAAAAAAGAAAAACAAACTCTCGCTCTCTCCAGAGGGGCAGGTCAGCCAAAAAGGCCAAACGGGCCGTTGCCCGGGCAACATTAGCCCGTACCTGTGCACGTCCCTGCCAAGGACAATACAGTTATAGCAATTTTACATAGAAGTCATGGTAGGTATAATTCATTTTAGCTAAATGTGTGCTGTGCAAGGTGTCATACTAGTCAAAAGCCAAACCAGCTGAACACTAGAGGAGAAGGTAATTAGAAAAGGAGAGGATTTATCCTCTTAGGGGCATGAATGTGATAACCTTTAACTAGAGACTGAACCTAGAGTAAAGAATGTTATGTCCACAAGATAATTAGTATTCATCTTATGGGTACCATAATATGCAATGGTAATAAAGGCGGAAGGAGATAGAAAACCACTTGCTATCACCTCTGGCCAGCTGTTTAAAAAGTAAAATAATTGCATCTGCCTTGAACTTTCTTTAAACAACCCTGGTGCTTTACGATGGCTTGCCATACATGTGAAACACTGTAGTTTACCTGTCCTAGTGTAATCATAATTATTCAATCATAATAAGAAGCATATCATACAGAAGAGAACAAATCTTGAGGCTACGGAGTGTGTAGAAATGTTATTATTCTCATTGCTATTTCATTCATCATTCATACAGTAGCACCATGTCCATTTCTTGCAGTTGTCCACAAGGTGGCAATACATACAAGTCAGCTGCAGGGGTAAATGGAGATGGAAAATTATTTAATAAATCCAAATGCTATAAACTATATATTTAACTTCCTCAAAATGAGTTTTTATAAAATTGTCATAATGAATATAAACAACCCTCTAAAAACGTTTACCAGTTGTGGCCAGACAGTCATATATTAAATGTCATTTCATATTAAGTAATGGGACCCAATGTTTTTGTGTTTGTATATCCAATATTATAATTTATTTAATTGACCCTGTTTGTATTTTCAGATGCCGTTGTCTAGTCGACCAATTACATGTGAGTCAGTCTCCAATGATTCATGTTAATGACCTCGGAAGCTAATCTTGATTCACTCTCAAACTCTGTGTACATAATTTATGTCCTGCTGGTTTAGCTCTTCCACAACAGTGTGAAAGAGTGCAGGTTGTATCTTGATCCACGTGGTGTCGCTACGATCTCCGTTAAAAATAAAGTAAAGCGTCTATATGAGTGATTAGCGCCCCCCCACCGGAGGGATGGCGATGGTTTTCCCTTTTTCACGCTGTGGTTTGTCCTCTTTATTTTTCAATGCAAATGACAGTCTGTTTGAAATAGTTACAAATTGGTAGGGCATTAACTTTGTCTTAAATCAGTGCATAATTGCTCTAATGAGTGTCACATGAGTTTATTTAAATAATGATTTGTTTAGGGCTTTTAAATGAATGACCCTGTTATGAAGAAGAAAAAAAAGATAACATCAAACAAGGAAACTACAGTTTAAATTGCTCTTCATTACATCAAATACATATTCCTATTATAATAGACACAATACCTAGATCTTGTGCAAAATAAAAGTAGTAACACCACAGAGTAAACATTTTTTAGAAGTAATCTTTTTTTAAACAGCAGTAACTTTAAGTCATGTTACATGTGAGTATTGTTGTCTAGCATGTCTTTAAACATTAGACTATGAAATGCTTTTTCTTGTTATTTTTGCCAGGGCCAGCTGCTAAATATTAAATGAAAATTGACTTGTTGTGTTTTGCCTCAGTCCAAGTCCACTGCCTTGTAAATCATTTTTGACAATTGCTTAAGCACTCTGTTTAATTAAGCCTGTTGTATTATGCCCCGTCCTATTACATTTTTTAGGATGTTTGATATTGTTACAATATTAATTATGAGCTCATTTTTGATTGCATATGAACTATTCAGTATAGGACATTTTTACGTGTTATTCCAGTAATGTATTAAATCTTTCAATATAAATAATTATATATATATATATATATATATATATGCATGCAGGGAATTTCAAAATAAGGGCACAACAATTTAAAAAAGTGATTACTATTATATAGATTGATACCCCTTTAGGCTGTTAGTTTGGTGGTATAAATATGTGTGACGAAATGTACCTGTTGGCTAGAGTCAATCTAAAAAAGCCACCTACAGTCTGGACGTGTTATACATTCATTGTGAGGATTGACCCTGGACTTTAGTGGCCTGATAATCAGTCATTGAGTTTGACATTGCTGAATAATAAGTGGGTGGTGATTGAGAGGTCTGGACTTTATGGTAGGTTAGGACCTCAGTCTATATCCATTTTTTTGACATCCAATTTAATTGAAGGATATGTTTTAAGAGGACAGCAGCCGTTGCAGTAGTTGCAGCAACTGATAAGGAATTTGGCCATTATGGTTTGGTTTGGCTTCAGGGCAAAAATGAGCTGCTGGCCTGTTAAACCTCCTATTCCGCCTCTTCACTTTGCAGGGTGTGCAGTGTTTTCTTTTGCTGTAATACTATATGGCCCAAGTTTGCAGTGTGGTGATTTTATTTAAAACAAATCCTCAATCACTTTATAAGTACATCACAGTTCAAGGCCTTGACACTAGAATCTATAATATAAACACACAGTTGGTGATTGTCTTACTGTCATGTAATTTTAATAGGCAGCCTGCAGTTCCCAACACCACACACACCTGAGACATTTGTCTTAGACTTTTCAGTGTGTAGGCGTAATCTTATTTTATTTTCCAGTTGCTTTGTCCTTCAGGTAAACAATGAATATATGTAAAGATAAATTAGTTCTTGAAAATTAATCAAGTATTTGTGAGTTGCAAAGTATTCTAGCCCACTACTGGATCAGATATTGCAAGAAATAAGCCATTGTCATGTCACCATTTGAATAAGCCTTTGGGAAGCACGTATATAGAAAATAGTTTTGGTAACTTTCTATTCATATATATAGCCTACATGAAATTAAATAAAAAAGATAGGCATCCACAATTTCTCGGCAAACAAAGTTGGATAAGTGCCACAAGTTATATTGGAAGCATAAATAGCTGTCCATATACGAAGGAAGACAACAATTAAGAAATACTTAAAATAAGGTAGGCCTATAACTGAATTCCAGACTATTTTAGATTATTATTGATATCTGATTGATATCAGTGTTGATCAGAGCTTTATTTTGAAAGGTTGCACAGGAAGTTTCAATCGTAACGCTCAAACTTAATTGGACACTCCTGTCATGTTAAATTGAGGCGTCGACACACACCTTGCTAGTTCTTGTTATACTACAGTATTTTTGAAACTCTCACAACATTGCAACTATGTCAAACAAAACGGAGATTAATTTAACTGGAGTCAAACAAAGTCAAACCGTGTGGCTTGTGAAGGTTCGTTCACTTACTACACCCAACAACCAACGGAAAGTAACGAAGTAACGTGACCTAAGCTAATTTACCGTTAGCTAATTTAACGCTAGCTTAGTTATCAGGTTCAGTGTTATTAAATAAAATGGCGGCAGTTTAACAATGTCATCATATCGAAATTAACAAATTGAAGACAGTTCACCTTCAAACTTCTTGTTGAGTTACATATTAGGTTATTAGTGTGTGTGTGTACATTTATTTTAAGTTGCCATGTCTTTCTCACCAGGTTCCCAAGTATTTATCTCACCAATGGGACAAGGCCTCAGAAAAGGGAGAAGTTGGAAAGATAACCATTGGAAAGTATGTTTACAAACTTTTTGTACACGTTTCTTGCTCGCTGTAATCCTGTTCTCATGATTATCTGTAACAGTGATGCCCCCTTTTTTTATCTGTCTTGTCATCGACCTGACAGGAAGCAAGGGAAAACAGAGGTGAGGCAGCTTCTTCATAATACTGCACAGGAGTGATTTGTCATGCTTGTTTCTGTCCATTCATACTGCATTATGTTTTTATATATATTTTTAGCTACAGTACGGAGTTACTCATAGCTTAGTGGCCTGTTTTACCTTTTTTTATTTGTTGTATCCAATCTGCGTTGACCCAACTTCCTCACAGCGATCAATATAGTTTCATCATATCAAATTCCTCAGATGAATCAAAGTTGGTTGTTAATATAACTAGCCAGCAGGGCCTTGACTCATCTTTGTTTCCCAGGTGAGTTTCCGTCTGAATGAGGAGCTGACCACCATGGGAGCTGTGGGGGAGAAGGATGGTTCAGTGCTGGTCCCGAGGGATCATCCCTTCACCATGCAAACTGTGGGCGGACAGACCCTGGCAGTCTACAGCCAGAGCGATTCAGGTCAGTCTCAGCTGTTCCTGCTCTCGTCTCTATGTGTTTCTTGTCATCTGAAACACGTTTTTTGATGGGGGGCTTAAGGCGTCAAACTGTAATTGATTTGATATGTGATTCCTGCGGAGGTTCACAGAGCAGTGTTTTCAGTCAGATTTACTAAAGTCAATATCCTAAACATATAAGATCTAACATCTACTGACTCAACTAAGAGTTCTTCAAATTGGTAGGCGGCCTCCCAAGGGTGGCTTCAAAGTGTTTCAGTGGAGGCACAGTAAATGGAAGTTGAAGTATACAGTATAACATTAGTTATCAAAAGAATATCATATAGAATAGCCTAACTGAGCGTGATTTGGTTACAGTGATCAGAGATACAGTACTTTTGGGCAATGTTAAGGCCGCTACACACCCACCTGAGACCAAAGAACGCGTACCGAAGGCGTCCCGACTTTTACGTCAGCTTCGTCGCCTGCGTCGGCTACGTCGCCCGCTACGCCGCCCGCCTACGAACACACCGCAAATACTTCAGTCGACGAGTGGCAATAACTGTCCTTACCAGCAGGCAGCGGTAGTGTGTATTCGTCATTCAAAAGAGGCAACAACCGGAAGACAGACTGCCTTTTATACACCAAGAGAAGAAGAACAGACTGAGTGATATAAACAAACAAACACAGCGTCTGGCCAGGCGGTTTGTTACTCCATTGTGGCAGTTGAGGCATTTCCCCTGAAGGAGCACCTGATGAAGCCCTATCCGAACCGCAGGCTAGCTGTAGAGCAACGCATCTTCAACTACAGGCTGTCGCGGGCTCGGAGGGTGGTAGAAAATGCCTTTGGCATCCTAGCCAACCGTTTTCGGGTCTTTCTCACCACCATAAACATTCAAGACACTGCCAAAGTGGAGGCCATTGCTTGCTGTGGTCTGCACAACTTCCTGCGCACAGAGAACTGTAGCGCATACATGGCGGGAGTTGTTGACCAGGAAGGACCCGATCATGGCACTGTCCCAGGAAGATGGAGACAAGACCCTGAACTACGGCAGGCCACCCTGCCACACACCACCAATAATCCAGCTCGAGCCAAGCAGCACAGGGATGAACTATGCCAATATTTTAACGGTGTCGGTGCAGTGCCTTTTCAGTGGGATAAGATATAGCAAATATGTCTAAAGAACTGTACAATGTCAACAATCGACTACAATACGATAAAAATAGTGTGTAATACAATAAAAAAAAAAAAGAGTTTGCCAAATATGTCTAATGCTGTGTTATCAATGGCTGTAGTATCAAGGTACGAAATAAAGTTTTGTATTACCTATCCTGCTATTTGTGTTTATTCTTTTAATCACACAGCGATAATAAAAAAAAAAAAAATGTGCCTACATAACTGCTGCCGTAGCAGCCGCATATTATTATTGGTTTAACTACTAACAGTATATTTTTAACACATTTTAAAATGACCATCTTGAACAGCTACAACGTTAAAATACTTCTAGGCAGATTGTGGAGGATAATGGGAGAAAGAATAGAGGGGCAGACAGAAACACTATCTGAATAATGGCCACTTCTTGCAAAATTTACATGACTTTCCCGAGGCGTCCGGAGGTGTCAAAAGGTGCCGTAAAGAGACGACGGTGCGGGACACACAAACCTGAGTAGGGCGCCGTGAATGCCCGACTGCCTCTGACTGCCTCTGACGGCCTCTGACTCCCAAAATCGGACTGGTGTGTCCGGGCCTTTAAGGTTTTTCCCACTTTCCTAAAGTCAGAAATGAAAAAAATGTTGCAAGGCCAAAGTCTCCACTGGTATAATGTTCAAGTAACCTGCAAATGATATGCAAAATGTTCAACATTTCAGAAATTATCATTCTTTACATAAACAACTGAAATTGGCAATTGTTGAGATTGTTGGCTTGTAATAAGATGTTGCCGTCTCCTGGAAGAATTGACAAAATATGAAGTGTAGAGTTTGAATGTATTTTAGAAAAGAGTAGTCACAGGTTATGCTATGTGATTGAGATGTTAAAACAAACTGAACTGCACTTAGTTCTTCTAGTTACTATGCTTTTCTTGCTTTGAAAGAAAGCTGCTAAATTCAACATTGATTGCATTGCACTGTACAATTCATGTTAATACTCAGAGTGGTTTCTTATTTATGGACGATATTTGCTGCCAGGCGAGATGTGTCATACATATACATGAGCCAAAGGGATTTGCATCGGAACCAGACCTTCAAATAGCTGCAAATATATTGTTGAGTGTCTATAATCTTAAGCCTTAAGATATGATAAATACATGTAGATTAGGGTGTTTATTTTTAATGTGTAACTATTTAATCATTATCATGTGTCAGGTCAATACAAGTAAATGATAATCAAGTAGCTTTAATTGTTCTTGCAAGGCAATGAAGAGTAATTACAGAAATGTTTAAATATTTCTTTATTGCCTTTTAATAAAAAATCATTCCCACAATTCAGTAAAAGGTTTAGTTCAGTGAGATGGAAAATAAATAGCAGGGTGCAGGCTGTTCAAATCAGTGAAATGTCAAAAGCAATTCTATACCTCCCAGGGGGCCAGTGTTCAGTAACAACAAAATAACTGCTTCTCATAATATTTTCAAGTACTGCTAAGGGTGCTTATACTTGTGTGTTTTTGGCAATAAACCAAAAAGCATTTCTGAGCATACAACAACAATCATGGCCTAAGTAGTTTGAGGCACAAATATTGACGGGATGGCAACTTACCAAAACTCTATTCAAAATGTAAAACCAAATGGAGCCTGGGGTGAAAAACGGCTGAAAGTGTATCAGAACACACGGGATGTTTCTCAATGTCGAGGAAGGCTGCTCCAGAGCCACTATTTCAAGCATACTACGTCATCGAGTGCCGCCGAAGGACTGTTCCAATGTCCAGCATACTTGGAATTCTACCGAGGCCGGCGTACTTCGTAGTGAGAAATTTCGAGGCTGCACATGTGTAGACTCCGGTCTTAAAATCCCCACAATGCTTTGCGCACCGACCAATTTCCAAATCTTTGGCGGAAATCGCGCTCCATTTAAGGCGGGGCCTCGCATATGACGCACACCTGCACACCTGTTAGCCTGTTCCACAATTCTTCATTTTCCGAGGCTAGGAAGGATTCTTGCCTCGCTTCTGAAGCAAGTGACTCGGAAGACATGTGCTACCAAGCAAGCGTCCTCGACATTGTGAAACACCCATTACCTGAGAAAATTAGTCCAACTCTACCAAGACAAACTGCAAAATATGTATCGAATGAAGAAGAGCCATAGTTATTGTAACCTGTAAGCAGATATAAGCGTGTAAATCCCAAGTTTCATCACGGGACGATGATGTATTGATTCCGTGGAAAATGATCAGATTTTGGTGATCTCAAAAGGGTCTGCCACGCTATGTTTGAGTCAATATAATTCAGGGGCCTTAAGATATAAGACGATATCTTCCCATTTAAACCCAACAATTACAACTATAAACTTGCGAAAAACAACTAAAACATGATTTGACATTTATGACTGGGCTCTATAGGAGGTGTGCTCAGAAAGGAATGATGACTCAGATTTCACAGTAGTTCATAAATACACAAATACAGGAACAGCATAACCAGCATTCAGCAGACATTGTTAGTGCAAAAATAAAAATGTTTAAAATACAAAGCACATGATTTCTGTGCTAAATTCAAGGAATAGGCACAATGTTTGTAGCGCTTGAGTTATTTGTCAAAGGTGCATGATCAGTGTTTCCCCTAGGTTTACTGGTTTGGGGGGGTGCTGCCTAAACATTTTTATTTATTTTTTAAAACACCTTGAATTTCAGGGGGGGCGCGGGGCTCCGTTGGCGGGGCGCAGCGCCCCTCCAAGACAATGGTAGGAGAAACACTGATGTTGATGGAAGAGACAGTTTATTTGGGTGAGGATTATTAGATGTCCCCTCCCAAATGTTTTGTTACTGTATTGATTTGTCGGCTGTGGTTGGCTGGAAGATGGCACTGGAGCCAACACCATAATAACTGGATGGCTATAGATTGATATGCCTTTGCCAAGAGCCAAGTGCTGCATCTGTTACTTACTTTGGTGGTCCCAAGCTTCAGTCCTCTGTTTATCATTATCATCGTTTTCAGTTTTTGTTCTCGGTGGTGGAATCTGGGTCTTGTCCAGGTTGCCAGCTGCCACGTGTCAAATAGTTGTCTGTGTTTTAAATGATCCTACTTCATTCTACATAGAGATGGAAAAATAAACATAACTTGAAATCTCTGTAAAGCTTTTGAGGTGTAAGTTAGAACAAGAAGCAAAAGGGAACTTGTCACAGTAAATGATCACATTGATATAAGTGATGAGTAACAGCCAGGAGGAAACGGAAAACATACAAATAATTGTCTCATTACGCAGCTGAGCAGACGGTGAAACAAGGGACAGGAACACCCAGGAGCCTGTGAATTACATTATTTCAGGTAGCAGCAGAGCACGTAGCAAGGGAGACATCATAACACACTTGGTAACAGAAGAAATACACTGGAACAATTCTCTTTTCTTGGATGTCAGCAATGACGTATTGTAATTTGAGTCCAGTCATGTTCTAACCAGAGATAGTGACAACAGTGTACTCATATGACTCGCACTTAATTTGCACACATGAGGACTTGAGAATCGTTCTTAATAGACTTAAGACTTTACTCAGACTCAAGATTTGGGACTCGTGAACGATCTATATTTGACCTGTTTTTTCATATGAGTCTTACAAGTCAGTCATTTGGTAATGTGAAAGCCAACAAAAGAGCCTATAGACAGTTAGCAAACGTGTATATCTCAGCATCATTATCTAAGGAAGATTAACTTAAAATAATCAGAGTTTGTTAAATATTTTGATAAGGAGTGTTTGCTTCCTCTCCACACTTGTCCAAGTGCTGGCTTTCATGAGTATTGAAATGAAAGTATCTTAATAATCGACTGTCCGCTGCCACCTATTTCCGGCTAACGTTAAACTGTGATAAAGACCACCA